CGCCGAGTCGTCACTTTTCAATTTACCAAGTAGCCCAGCCATGTCGCTCGCCACGCTCCGCAGCTCCGTCATCGACGCCCGTCGCGAGGGCAGCCACACCGAGTACGCGATCAAGGTCCAGGTCTCGATCGATGACGAGTCGATCGTCATCTACCGCCGCTACTCGGCGTTCGTGCAGCTCCAGAAATTCGTGCTGCGCCACCTCAAGGAGGGCACGTGCTGCAGCGGCGGCCGCTGCCTCCTCGAGTCGTTCCTCAAGTCGCTTTTTGAGACCGAATTTCCGAACGCCAACTTTCTCTCGAAAAACTCCAAGTCGGTCGTCCAGGACCGCGTCTACTTCCTCAACGACTTTCTCATGCGCCTGCAAGAGACGATGGCCAAGTGCCCGCCGCGCATCATCCAGCGCTGCGAAACCGAGGGCTGCAAGGTCTCCAAGCTGCTCAAGAGCTTCCTCGGCGCCGTCAGCGTCAACCCTGCCCACTACGAGTAGACCTTCTGCCTCCTGTATATTTAGTACGATTCATCCTCTCGTCGTGACGGCGAGTTCCGCGCCGATGGCGTCGATTGCAGACACCATCGTCGGCCTTATTTAAGCCACAAACATCCAATGCATTTGCTTTCTATCTCTCGACGTTCTTCAAAGTGGACTGGAAGAAGTGCTTCTGCATGCCAGCGCACACTTCGACCTGCGGTCGGCGACGGAGTAATACTGTGCCGGACGATGGAACCCCAGACAGGCGGAGGAGAGGCGGTGCGTCATTGACACTTCGTCGGTCGCTGGATGCCCCACCCAGCTCCATTATGACCCAGCTCGGATTCTCGTGGCTCGGAGCTGCAACGTTGCGCCGCTGCTCGTCGCTGCAGCACCCGACGCGTCATTGATACGGACCGCGGTGTCGCTCGGGCACAAACATATTCGTTTTTAAAGGTCTTTTGCACACGTTGATACATATTCGTTTTTCGAGGGTTTCAAGTGGCCTCGCAAGCAGCTCTGTGCATGGCGAGTTGAACCGTGCAAGCGACCGTGCACGACGACGCTCTCTCGGTAGTCCATCGCTCGTCAGATGATTCCTCCATTGCTTGCAAAACGACCTGTCCGTGAACTAGGAGGAGCGGTTGGAACTTGCTTCTCTCCTGGCATTTTCCGTGCATGTTAAATGGATCTGCGGCGCACACAGATACAGAGAGACTGGCTGCTAATCGGCGCAGTCGCCATTGTCAAAGGCACAAGCAGCTACGTTGCACGGCGCGTCGCAAAACCGGTTGCCTCGACGCGCGTCGGCGCAGAAAGGCGCGCACGCCGCCTCGCACATACCCGGCGATAGCATCGCTGCAAAGTGGTTTCCTTGCTCACGCATACAAAAGGGTGTCGAGCGGAGGTGCACACGGCCTTTGGCCAGTGCCGCTCGGACCGCCGGCGTGTCAGGGATCGTTGCAATTTGCGTTTGGTCGAGCGCGAGGTCCAGCGTCGGGTTGGCCGTGAGCAGCGTCACTGGGAACTCGGTGATCGGATTGGCGTCCATGTAGAGCTTTTGCAGTAGCGGCATGGTGCGAAGAGCGTGCGGGAGACGCGAGACATTGTTGCTACTCAGCACCAGAAACTGGAGATTCTGCAGTGCTGCGATCGACTCCGGCAAAACCTGAAGACTGATGTTGCAGAGCCACAAGCTGGAGAGCTGCGTCCAGTTGGCCCACACAGCGATGGGCACGTCGACGATCGGCGCCGAGTCGAGGAAGATGCCAACGAGATGCGATGGCGGCGACGCCAGTGCGACTGGAAGCGCCGCGAGCTGGCTATAGCGTATGTAGGCCAGCGCGAGCGACGAGGGGTATGCACTCACTGGTATCTCCCACGACGTCATGTTGGAGTGCTCGATGGCGTAGGCGAAGAGGTCCTCGAACGACGCTAACGTCTCTGCTTGCAAGCCGCGCGGCAGCGAGCAGTGCAGTGCGTGCAGCACGATGAGGCTCGGGCCCAAGCGGTCCACCGTCAAGTGGCGCTCCTCGTCCGCTTCCAGAGACGGTACCATCGTCCGGCAGTCGAGCC